CTTAAGACCTAAGGCCCTCTAGTTTCTGGGATACACGCCCGCGAATTGGTGTTTTTTCTCGGTGAGTATTTGAAGGTCACCTTAGCATTTACGACGTGATAATAACGTCATTCAAATTCTGTCATTTCCTAAGCCATGCAGGTGATCGAGGCCTAGAAAAATATATTGGTCGAATCGTCCATAGCTGGCGTTCGCGAGCACGATTTCCAGACATAACGACTGTCAATTGGCTGCCAATCAAGGTCGCGCAACATACGATGGCATAATTAAACAATGACGTATCCAGGAGCATATTTTCTTAGGAGCGAAATGCTGTCGTGTAGAGAAGACTGTTGCGCTTAAAGTGTGCTTGACGTTATAAGTGATTTTGTTTCATCATATCTGATGCCTAGTTCAATATATGCAAAGGTGAAGCATTCCCACTACGTGACAGCAAGATGGTGAGTTGTTACACCCATCAGTGTTTCTTGGTATTTGGAGGCAGCATGGCGCGGTATAATTCAGTTCCCGGAAGCTAAGTTTCAAACTTGTCCAGTTCATATGTCATGTTGTACCCTTTACCTAGCCTGATCGCCACGTCGTTATCAAAGGTGTGGCCGGTGAACGCGTGGCAAACTGGGGCTTCGTGGCGCACCCTTGAACCTGTGTGTGTCAAATAAATTTATGTTTGGTGGTTCTGTGAATGAAAACTGGTCATAAAAGGATTTTCTCGTAATTTCAATTTAGTTAACTCGATGTCACGATCACCTTCAGTGGAAGTTTCACATTCGACGACATTGAGGCAAATGAATATGTGATGGAAATGTCTAATCGTGACTACAGGGATGCTTTTAAGTGAAAAAGACTCGTCTGAATCGGAAATAGCTCAGAAAAGTTTGTGCCGCCGTCCTGGGCCTCTGGGCGGACCGGAGAATGTTGTGTCCCGGTGCCCTGAGTCTCTGGGCGAACCGGAGCAAAGTTTGTCCTCCCGCCCTGAGTCTCTGGGCGAACCGGAGCAAAGCTTGTCCTCCCGCCCTGAGTCTCTGGGCGAACCGGAGCAAAGTTTGTCCTCCCGCCCTGAGTCTCTGGGCGAACCGGAGCAAAGTTTGTCCTTCCGCCCTGAGCCTCTGGGCGAACCGGAGCAAAGCTTGTCCTGCCGTCCTGAACCTCTGGGTGAACCGGAGCAAAGTTTGTCCTCCCGTCATGAGCCTCTGGGCGAACCGGAGCAAAGCTTGTCCTGCCGTCCTGAACCTCTGGGTGAACCGGAGCAAAGTTTGTCCTCCCGTCCTGAGCCTCTGGGCGAACCGGATCGAGATCCAGTGCCTGACAAGCCTGATTAGTGGGACCGTCTTTGAGCGATTGAAGCACGTATTTGCTGCTTGGGGAAGTAGTTTTCATATTCGGTCTCTTGGCAGAATTAGCAAGAGCGTTTCACTCATCGCATAACAGTCCGCAAATGAATACGAACCCCAGCAAGCAGCTCCGTCAAGTAGATGCTGCGGTAGAGGCTTCCCCGCTCTCCCTCTCCCTGGCGCTGTCCAGCTACCTCTCAGTGCTGTTGGGGTTGACTGGAAGGTCAACAGCTCTATTTCGGACAGAGGGAAAGCAGAAGTCCGGCTTCTTCCCAATGATGTAGTAAGACGCACTCCCACCGTTGTCACGGCGCACGGAAGCTGTACGGAAACCACAGTGGCTTGATGTGAAGATGCAGTGCAGATTGGAGGAAAGCTTTGCTGCGGATCAGACCGAGGTTGGCGTGCGGATCAGACCGAGGTTGGCGTGCGGATTGGAAAGAGGGATCGCGCACAGATCGGAACGGATTCAAAATGATATGCTGACTGTTCTTACACGGAGTATCTCCAGAGGAGGCTTTCTCGTTGAGCTCCAGGGCGCCCAATGTCGGCACAATACACTCCACTGAATGCTGATCACATTGTTTCAGAGAACACCTTATGCAGTGTTCGTGCGCAGGTTCTAGTTCAGAATTCCTGCACATAGCCGCGCCGTCGCAGCGACCTTGACGCCGTCGCCAGTGCCACCTGACGGCCGTGATTGGAAGCGACATCCGCGGCGGAGACTCCGGTGCGCCGTGGCTGAGGGCTGGAGACCTGGTCACATCCCGGCGCCGCTCCGGTCGGCGGGGCGCCACGTTCGCACATTAACCCGGCATTGACCGTACTCCCAAGCGGCACACTATTGACTGGAGGGGGCAGAGTCGACTCTTACCTAGCTTATCGCAACAACGGTCGGATTCAAAAATTCGAAGTGCACTGGATAGCGCCGTGGCGTGCGGTCATACACCACCCAACAAAATTAAATTTAAGAGTGCATCAAGGTCACGGATCAAGGACAAATTCTTGACACACTCACTTGGGCACCTGGCCGCTCCCAAAGCGTATCCATTTGCAAACGTATATCATGGTATTCAATCATTGCACCTTGATCAAACGTACTATGTAGAAAAGTATCCAATGATAAGCGCGCTATGCCAGACCTAGAGCAATGGTCACGCGCCATGCAAATGAGGACTGAAATCTTGGTCTATATCTCTCATTCTGTCCATTCATATCTGTCACATCTGAGCCATCCAAACGCTAACGCGAAGTGAAAGAGCTTAGCCGCAATTATCGGCATCAGACGCGTGAGCAAGAGCGGCTAGTAGTTCGTAAGCCGCGTAAGGTCAAGGTCAGATGGATACCCTCGAGTGTGGATAGGTGGTTGGATCGATTTTCGCGCTGTTTTCGTCGGTTCAGTCCTGCCAACAGCACAACCTGATATCCTTTAACCCCGCCGCTAGTCACGTGGTCGTCGGTCGGCGTGTGAAACTGATAAACGGCTTCCGCCGCCCCGACACCACGGCGCTCCGGCAGACCAGAGCCCCGCCACCCGGCGCCACGGGGCCGGGCCTACCTGGGCACGGGCAACATGCGCTGCAATGCATTCCAGGCCATAACTCGGTCATTGTTACAGATAACTTCTTGAAGTTTGGTCAAGTCATCCTTCATAGCCGTGTCTAGGACACCTTTCATGATTTTATAATTCTGAGTCTCGGACCAAAGATGGTGAATGCATTGTTTTAAGTAATCCTCTTATGCCAATATTTTGAAGCGCAATAGTGAAAGAGCACAACGACGAGACATAGGAATAACAGCTCACACTTACCGCTGACAGATATTAATTTTTTCTGTCCAGCGGTTTGCCAGGGCACAGCGCCGGCCGGAGAACGCAATGGTCCGGAACAGCCAGCGCTGATGGACTTCGACTAACCCCGACCTCCCCCCCCCCCCTCCCACCCCTCCCCCTCCCCCCTCACGCATCAGGGTCGTGGCCGCGAAGACAAAACAACAGGAGGGCGTGAGCCAATCTTTGAGTCAAGAGTGATGCAAAAGTGTTTGTGTTCTTAGTATTCGATCCCTGAAGTTGTGTTCGTTGTCGTTTATGCTAAAAAGATCATTCAAAAATATGTGATATCAGTCTTTTGTGGCGGCACTGCTTTTTGGTGGCCTGTGATTGGTCCACCGTTCACCATCCCGAGCGCAGTTGCTGACTGCGCTTGTTTCCATCGCGACAACTTTCGCGTGATAATGCATTCGTGTTTGGCCTTTTGGCGTTTCTGGTTTATCACACAACGAAATGCGCATCCCGAATGCGCACCCGGAAGTGTTGTACATCAGCTGCATCCCTAGCTAACAGTGAAGCCCTGTTCATGGTCTTATAACTATTTAGTGCGTTAAATGGTTCAATTAATCAATAGAAATTCCTGCGCCAGCAAGGCACCCAATGCCCGTCATCAGTCGCTATTGTCAGCCCAGTCATGCATGTCTCTCAGCATTTTTGGAAGCGTTGAATAGCCCGATTGTGGCTTTTTTAAAGTTTTGGTACAAGCGCCTTCTTTCCTGGGAATGGTAACGCCCGTCGTAATTCTTTTTGTTGCGCTATATTGTGCTTCATCTTTGCTCTTCACTATGTGTTGGCACGTAGTTCAATATGTTTACGAAAAAAATGGTATCACAAACACTGAAACCAAATTGAAATGTTGGAACATCGCATTTAGGTACAAAATGATGATCTTGAAAAGTGGATGAGCGGGCTTAATCTTAACTTTACAAGTTAATAAATTTTGGCCGGCCGGTGTAGTAGCACAATAGTTCTGGTAAAACTATCCTGAAAACTACCGTCCCAAGCGACGGAAGACGTCTGGAAAAGCCCGGGCCCGTTAGCTGATTCCGCAGTCCGCTGGTATGGCTGTCCGGCGAGGCGGACGACACGTCACACCTCCTTGCTGGTGGAGCCGGTCGACCCATGCAGCTATGCTGCTGACCACAATTGCGCCGGCCTCCAGCACGAATATTTCGCTGGCGTTATCGATCGGCTCATTTTGGCAGAAGTAGGCATTCGCGTGGATCTACACATCTTGTGCCGCCCTCTGTGAATGTGTAGATGCAACTGGTATCAGGTGTAGGAGATGGTGGTGTGAGTCTCCATGTGCCAAGAGGCAGCAGGAAATCACAGTCACAATCACAGGCTTCTGCCTGATACAGATCGTTGTGAGTTGTGAGATCATATTCTGACAATAACCCACCTTCAGTATACTAGGGGATGGTGGTAAAGCGACGTTCTCAAAGAAACCTTGACTACAGGTGAGAGCCGCGCTCGGCGATTGCGAAGATAAGGTCTTGTAAAGCGTGTGCTGGCGGGGCCGGGTCGCAAAGTTTCGCTCGCAACGGGACACTTACGTAGCTGACGTAGTAGTTCCGCGGCTTGAACCTTGTCCATGATAACTTCACTCCAGTGTGCTTAAAGGACTGCGCGAGTTCCGCGGAAAATGAAGAAGTGTTTTATGTAAATCTAAATGATTTACAGACTGTGTGACACAACATGACTTGAGCTGACAAACAGGACAACCTGGCATTGAGCCGCCTGTCCTCTTGATGGGCAGCACAAACGGCAGTGTGTTGGGGTGATGCTGAGTCGAGACATGGCGTGCAGGTGATTTACCATAGCCATGGTTTGCTGGCGCTGTTTATTATCCATTAGTCGTTATGGTGCATCACCATGTAGAGTTATTGACGCCACAGGATAAACGCAAGTCGCCGCTGTTCCGACATCCGATAATATCATCCGTGTCGAGTTAACCCCTAACCGCGCCACCCCCTTACACCGTCACCCGTCACCCATCATCCGTCACTTTCACAGCAACCGCTTCCAGTAGGTGAGGCAAATTATCACCAAGAGTCGGGACACGCCAACAAGTTCGTCAACATGTTTCAAACACAAGACTATCTGGACAAGGACCGACCTAACGACCGGACCACAAACCGCAACACGCAGCAAGGACTTTATTCCGATTCTTCCTGTCTCTCAGCTGATTCACGCTCTGCATCTGTATGCTGACATGTGCCTTAAACTTACGAAAACCGCTTTGACACCAACCAACACCCCAACAGCCGCTGTTGCCAAAGCCAACACGATAATCATGCAAGGAAATCCGTACATATCCACAATGATGCCCCCCGAAAGAGGACCGACTGCTATTCCCAATGAAAAAGTCATTTGATACACACTGGCTATCAACGACAGCGTAGACAAGCTGTCCTCTAGACCTCGTTCAATACCGGAGTCCAGCATGATCTTAAAACATGGGGTTATTGCGCCTCCAATAAACATGAGCTCGAGCGTCATGCCTAGACCTGTAACCCACCAGGAAGGGTTCAAACCAAATGACGAAGAAGGAGCCACTAACAAGATTGCGAGGCTGGCGACAAGGAGACATGGTGACATCACCTTGTAACGATTTTGCACACGCTCAGCCAGCGATCCCCAGAAAAAGTTCATACCGGCATATAGCGTAGTGCTGACGATGTAGAAGAGACCAACCTGTGACGACGCAACACCGAGCACATCATTTGCATAGGGAGCGAGGGCAGAATCCACTGTACTTACATCTGCAGCAATTATGAACGCGGTGGCCATGCACACCCAGTTGCCCGTCGATCCGGCCAGCAGTCGCAGAGAGCTCAGCAAATGTGTCTGAGATTCACTGGTGGTCTTCTCGATGGTCGGCATCAGGCGCTGGTTGACGGCCGCCATCAGCAGCATGATGACGCCAAGCGTGTAGAAGGGGATGCCGAAGCCACCGAGGGCGAACAAGCCGCCCCAGATCGCCGGCGTCAAGGCCATCCCGATCGTTAGAGCAGAGCCCAGCAGAGCCACGACCCTGTTCACCCTGCTGGGGAACTGGCTGCCGATTATGGTGAAGCTGCAGACGGCGGTGGCCGCTGAACCAGCCGCCTCCATCAGCCTCACCAAGAAGCAGGCCGCCACGAAGGCAGATGTGTCCGCGATGTAATTGAGCGTCCCGAAGACGATGGTGGCAAGACCGGAAGCTGCGACGCCAAAGTTGTAGAGCCATTTGATTCCCAACAATGGCGCCAGCCGACCAATGAAAGGACTCATGATCATTTTCGCCAGCGCGAAGGCGGTGAATAGGGAGCTTATGACCGTTTGAGACACACCTCTTGACGCGGCTTCAACAGGGAAGAATGGGATCATGATGGCTACCAGCGAGCCGTTCAGGATCCTCACCATCACCAGGCAGGCCAGCAGTTTCTTCTGAGCAGTTGTCATACGATCGTCCCTTGCCACATGTTGATTAATACTGACTCCGTGGTTGCCGTCAGATGGCGCATCTGTGTCTTCTGCATGTTGGGTAGACTCGTACTCGGTATAGCTGTCAGATCCAGAGGCCGATCCGGTCTTCGGCCCTAATAATGAATCCGTCTCCATCTTGCCTAGCTCTCAATTTCAGGCAGACTTTGCTATCCCGTTGCAAACCATTGCAGGATATAATCAGTGCAGACGAGCGCTCAACGTCGCACACACGGCGCCCGCACTGACGCTTCCTGATGACCTACCGCCAATCCTGGTAACATCACCGCTCCGCCCGACGACCCACGTCCGTCTGGCCGTCGTCTTCTCGCCCGTCTGCGGATTTGGCGAGATAGCCGCACTTTGTCCGATCCGCACTCGCGCTGCGTTTTCAGTGCCCGTAGCAGGATCCTGGAGACCCTGGTGCGCACGAACCATTGGCGGACCTCGGACTACACAAGCATATCTCATTGGACCAATCGGGAAGCTGGTCTGTGCGGTGAGGTTCACCGCCGGAGCTAGGTGCACTCACGCCAAGCGGGTGCTTCATAACCTTGGCAGTCCGGAGTTTGCGCTGGTTCTTGAATGCTTGTGCTTAGGTAGCTTGCAGTACACAAATTTTCAATGCTGACCGCGTTTCGACTCGCAAAATTTAGCATATCTGACTTGGTCTGGCTCATAAATTCAAGAGTGCAAGCAGACCCAAAAAACGCAAACGTAACTTTAAGAATACAAGCCTCACATAACACCACGAAGCATGGCCATGAACACATGATGCGGCAAAGGCGCAGTCCTCGTTGGGGTTGAGCATTAACTGTTTGTTGTCCTGTCACATTTATGATCCAGCATTGTGGAAATCGCTTTGATACCTATCAACAGCCCAACAGATGCCGTCGCAAAAGCTAGCACGGTTGTCATCCAAGGAAAACCGTAGGCATCCACGATAATGCCTCCGGAAATCGGTCCAATCGCTATGCCCATCGAAAACATCATTTGGTACACTCCGGCAACAAAGGACTGTGTACCAAATCCGAACTCGAGCCCGTTCTGGACGCTACAGTCAAGCATGAGCTTAAAACATGGGGTTAATGCACCACCAATAAACATGTCTTCAATGGTCATACCTAGACCTGTTATCCACCAAGCCGGCTCTAAACCCAATAACGGAGAAGGGGCCACCAACAAAATTCCAAAGCTCGCAACAAGGAGGCATGGTGACATCATCTTGTAACGGTTCCGCATTCCCTCAGCCAGCCATCCCCAGAGGAAATTAATGATGGCGTACATCGTAGTGCTAACTAAGTAGTACAAACCAAGCGTTGACGGCGAGACGCCGAGCACATCATTGGCGTATGGAGCGATGGCCGAACTAACGGTGCTCACGTCTGCAGAAAATATCAGTACGGTTGCCATGCAGATCCAGTTTCCGGTGGATCCAATAAACACCCGGAAATTCTTGAAGAAGCTCGTCTGCGGTCCACTGGTGATCTTCTCCATCGTCGGCATCAGGCGCTGGTTGACGGCAGCCATCAGCAGCATGATGGACGCCGAGCGTATAGAAGGGGGTGCCGAAGCCACCGAGCGCGAACAAGCCGCCCCAGATCGCCGGCGTCAACGCCAGCCCGATCGTTAAAGCAGAGCCCAGCAGCGCCACGACCCTGTTCACTTTACCGGGGAACTGGCTGCCAGCGATAGTGTAACCGCATACGGCAATGGCTGCTGAACCAGCCGCCTCTACCAGTCGCACCAAGAAGCAGGCCGCCACGAAGGTAGATGTGTCCGCGATGTAGTTGAGCGTGCCGAAGATGACGGTAGAGACACCCGCAGCTGCTATGCCGAAGTTATAGAGTCGAGTGATGCCGACAACGGGCGCCAACCGACCAATGAACGGGCTCATGATCATCTTTGCCACAGCGAAAACACTGAAGAGGGAACTGATGACCGTCTGCGACACGCCTCTCGAAGCGGCCTCTACGGGGAAGAATGGGATCATGACAGCAATCAGCGAGCCGTTCAACATCCTCACGATCAGCAGGCTGGCCAACAGCTTCTTCTGAGCCGACGTCATGCCTGAGTTGTTTGCCGCACGCTGCATGCCACCTTCACTGGCAGGAGGTCCACTGGTGTTAGCTGGCTCTGAAATGGATTCATAGCCGACATGTCTTTCTGATTCTGAACCTGAACCAGTCCTCCGTGATAGCAATTTGTCGGTCTCCATGACGCCTGCTCGGCGCTGACTCCGTTGAGCACCACCGACCGGCTGCACCGCCGGGCGGCTATCAGAACAGTTTACACGCAGGTCCCAAGGACGTCGTAGAGTTCCACCAGCCTCCTCGCCTCTCAGCACTGCCCGGCGCTAGTCTCAGCCTGACTGCACCCGCGCCTTCCACATCAGGCGCTGACCACACCCACGTCTGTCGCACCAACTTGATTACACCCACGCCTGCCGCACCAGCGCTGACCGCACCCACGTCTGTCGCGCCAGGTGCTGACCGTGCCCACGTCTGCTGCACCAGGCGCTGACTGCGCCCACGTCTGCTGCACCAAGCATTCACTGCGCCCACGTCTGCTGCACCAAGCTCGGACTGTTCCCACGTCTGCTGCACCAGGCGCTGACTACCCCACGTCTGCTACACCAGACGCTGTTTGCACCCACGTCTGGCAGACTGGTCCGTCGTCCGGCTACCTGCAGAGCTGGCGGTGCACTGCAGCCGCCCGGCTCGCGCCCGCACCGTGCACACTCCCAGGCTTCACCTGGGCTGGATAGCTTGCATTCATTACAGCCCGCCGGCCGGCCGGACCGCTGCACGTCACGGCAGAAAACCGGTTTGTTTTTGCTCGGCAGTCGGCGGAGGGTGGCGGCTGTTACGCGGGCGGCGCAGCGTGCAGCCTAAGAATAATGCTTGACACGTGACTGTCGCGACACTCTGGTAAACAACGCCTCAAATTTGTGGTGCTATTTTTCCCTCTCTTGTAAAAGTATATGCAATGGTGTCTTGTGGCCGTATTGTGGCCGTAATGGTCCGTATTGTGGCCATTTTTCCCAAAACATAAACAAAACACTGAGATGTTGCTGAAACAAACTGAACTAAAGCTTACAAGCAAACGCATCACAGTGCTGTGTTTGCTTGTTCCCGATCGGGCAGCCTACAGTGTGAAGAGAGCATGCTGGTTTAGGCGCGGCTTTCACTTGTTTGTCCGGCGGGGCGTGTCTTCAATTAGTTTCAGTGCTGCGGGTGGTGAAGCCTTACAAGAGCGTGTTTTTGTGTTGAATGTATTCATGTTTCGGAAACAAAGTGTGCTGGCCAGCACTCTTGCTGCTGACTGGCATTTGTGGCAAACAAGCCTTGTGAATATTGACTGTCCGTATCATTTCGCACGCGTGCGAAGCATATTACATCCCATTTCACGGCTACACATGGCTGCGCACATTATCAAAAATATACCGTAGCTGAAAAAGTGAAATAGTCCATGAGCATGCATGCGGCAGCTTGAAGATACGCCCGCAAGTCCGTCATCCGCGCATTGTCCCGCGCCGCGGCAAAGCAGACCAGTACCGTGCGATTCATGCCGACGCCATGCTGTGCGACGCCTGCCGACATGATGCAGTGCGATGCATGCCGACACGATGCAGTGCGAGCCTCACCGGTGATCCGACGTAGTTGCCCGTGCTTCCCAGGACGAAGTTGAGCGAGTGCTTTTCGCCGTAGCGCATCAGGATGTTCTGCACAGTGGAGCTGGCGCATTTGTGCGTTTTCAGAAAGAAGATAGAGTCCCGCGGCACGCAGCTGTCGCTGTCGTCCCCAGCCATTTTCGGTCCGTCGTCCCCAGCCATCGACGGGAGTTGCTGGTGGTGCGGAGGCAAGAGTGCCCTGCCGGGGCAGACAAGGGGAGGCAGAGGTCACGTGGTTGAAGCGGCAGCGAGGCGGTGTTGCACCCAGTAGGTAGCCCTGGTGGCAGCCCCGGGAGAAGCCAAGCACCACTGACATGAAGTTAGCAGTTTTGACTACAGAATAGCCTAACCTTTCTGGCGTGGAAAGCGTCGTCAACCTCAACTGCCCGTCGTCACCCACACTGCCCGTCGTCACCCACACTGCCCGTTGTCACCCACAACTGCCCGTCGTCACCCCACTCTGCCCGTCGTCACCCACTCTGCCCGTCGTCGCCCACACTGCCCGTCGTCACCTACACTGCCCGTTGTCACCCACACTGCCCTTCACACCACACTGCCCGTCGTCACCCACAACTGCCCGTCGTCACCCACCTGCCCGTTGTCACCCACACTGCCCTTCTTCACCCACACTGCCCATTCGTCACCCAGCCCTTGCCCGTCGTCACCCACAACTGCCCTTCGTCCCCCCACAGACTTGCCCGTCGTCACCCTCAGACACTGGCCCGTTGTCACCCACACTGCCTTCGTCCACCCACACTGCCCGTCGTCACCCACACTGCCCGTCGTCACCACACCCTCGTCACCCACACTGCCCGTCGTCACCCACACTGCCCTTCGTCACCAACACTGCCCGTCGTCACCCACACTGCCCTTCGTCACCCACACTGCCTCGTCGTCACCCACACTGCCCGTCGTCACCCACACTGCCCGTCGTCACCTACTCTGCCCGCCGCTGACTGGTGTCGAGCAGATGTGAGTCACAGGCGTGTCGCGGGCTCTGAGTTAGCTCGGCCGCGAAGCGAAGTTCGTGAGCTCAGTGCCCGTGAGCTTGAACGCAGCGTCACAGCCTCATCTTTTACTTGCGGTCCTCTCACGACCGATACGGTCCGGACCAGGGCGCGATAAGCAACGGCGTCAGTGACCGGCTAATCGGTAAAGGGATGGCAGGTCCCATACGAAAGATGACCGTAGCCGTGCTGGTCTGACAGCAGGATGGGAACACACCCGGTGGCTGCCAGACGTCGAGCGGCGCCGACGCGGCGGCCTCATGAGCACCCATGCGACACGCGGCACGGCTAACTGTACACCCGCCTGCGTTCGTTCCCTCGTTCGGCTAGCGGCTCGGGCTGTTTACAGGCTCCACCAGTCGGTGGTGTGTGGGGCGTCACCTTGTGTTCCGCCGCAGCGGCCGTGGAAAATTGCAGGGATGGTTGTCACGAGTTACAGTTATGGCGAAGGGCCGACCTGACAGCGTCACTAGCGGATTCAGTCGTCGCTGAACGGCCGACTCGCGCCGGGAAGAAACGCATCGAAAGCGAGAAGGCATGTGGCTGGCCGAAATGTGACCCACAGGTGAAGAGACAAGGAGCACAGGTTGCCTTCGACAAATGCCGTGACGAAGCCCACATCTATCTCGGACAAGACTGAACGGTGGAACAGGTTATTGTACTTATAAATGCCAGTGCTCAATGCGCAACACATGCAGCATGCATCACAACGTTCTCATTTCGGTATTTATGGACGTTTTCAACATTTTGTCCCAACCCATGGAGTGAAGGGATCTCCGGGATGAGTGCAACTTTAAGCAGCACATATTGCGGGATACGCGACCCTCCATCCGATCGTAACATTTCAGGTCAAAGACAGAATTTTGCGGCGAGCCTTTAACGTGCTACAACGCTTCGTGCGGTCCGTCCTGCTCTCTGACGTTACTTGGCGTTTATCGCGTCCGCTGCCACCGACGGCACGCCATCTCAGTCAGGAGCAAGCAGCGAGAGCCTAAAGGGACTCGAACCCACCCCGCCACAGGTGGGGAAATCGGGAGTTGCGTGCTCTAATCGACTGAGCTAATAGCATAGGTATCGGCATATCTATCAAAGAAATTGAAGAAGTACAAGTAAACCGAGATAATATTTTCTTAGCACCAACAATTTCTTCGGTTCGAGTAAGCAATGTCCGCCTCACCAAAAGCGACTTACACCAAGATCCGCAGGATTAAAAGATTATCCCACGACTCTTCTTTTGCCTTTACCGTCTCGTTTTCCGAGATGCATTCACCGTGATAAAAAATTGTATGGAACACCAAAAAGAGACATGCCCATTTATCTTTAACACACGTAACTGCCGCCATCATGTGGTATGACAAGATCAATGCCACGGGAGCGCGTGAAAATCTAAAACGGGTCTGTCAGTTTTGTTATGGCTCGCTATTGGTGGCCACAGTCCGCACGAGTGCACTTTTCAGGCCTGCAAGATAGTGATTGTTCATACGTTTGTGCCACAGCTTGCCGATGTGAGTGAAACGGACTGGATCGGCTCAGCGTAGCCTACAGGTCCATTCAATCCAGCGCATTAAACGTCAATTGGGTTGCAAGACACGTTTGATGCTGGAGACAGAGACGGAGATTGATCGGAATTCTTCTGACTTTGTGTTGCCTTGGGGTCTTAAACACGCGTCCGGGTAGCGGGTCAATTTGACACCCTCGAAGATTTTTCAGAGTAATTTCCGAACAGCGCAGCGTAGCCACGCTAAACTCTGGCTCGTTCTAGGGCAACTGAATAGCACACATTTTCGTATAAAGAATTAAATGCACCTTTTATGGTCGCTGATCAATAATAGGTCAAAGTCGGGCCATAGATGTCATAGAAAGCCATGTCTAGGAATGGTTCAATATGATGCAGCAATTAAGAGCTAGAAGAAGATTTTTGAGACGTCTCTCAGATTTTTCGTAGGCAATAAAAACATTGAATTTAGAATCACGACCAGTTGCATTGACCAAGGGCTAGGTATGAAGGTCAGACCGAGGTCAAATCCAAACTGTTTTATTCCAGAGCTTGTATTATGGGGTAGTTTCTGGTGTCATTTCGAATTGATTGGCACCAGTGACTGCAACAAATATATCCCATGAACTTCATGAAGGTCAGAGTAGGTTACTGACCTGAGATGATCTAAGCGAACATTTTGCCTTTTGATGGACATATCACCTTGCATAAGCCATCACGCTTATAAAAATGACCAAATGAAAGCAATCTCGCACTTTTTCGTCACCTCGACCTTCCAAAGGAAAGAAAGACTCCAGCTTAGGTGCGCCATACCCACACATGCGCCACGACAGTTTCAAGGCACCCCGTTCACAAGCGCAAGACCACGCTCATCTAGTACGCCTTCTGAATAACTAAACCGACACTCCCACCTCATATATGATATCTCAGGTGTGCATCAGTTCTCGGGCGCACCAAATGATGAAACAACTGGAACTGCAACCATGACCTCATGCTAGATTGCCGGCTTCATCAAAATGCATTGTTATTCAGAACTGCTAGCCCGTCGCGACGCATACGGGCTGTAGGATGGCATCTGACAGATCATGTCAGAAACGCTTCCAGATCCTCCACTTTGGCACACGATTTTGGGTCTGCATTAAAATTACACTGAGATGCAATGCTATGAAAACGTGCAAGAAAGGGCCCTCAAACTTTGCAGGAACCTCTGTCTGAAACATCAGGAACTCAATACCGGATATGCTATGGTGCATCTCCGTAAAATCAAGTCATGCTTACAGTTACCCACTGGCTTAAGCTTCGGGTTGGAGTTTAGGGCACTGTGATATGCCAAGCGGTCTTATCAGCTTGTTTGTGTCGTTGGCCTTGTTTTTTCATATCTGCCGCATGGAGATCATCTTTGGTCAGCAGGGTCATCGTTCAATAACCGGGAAGACCATTGAGCCGCCTGCCAGTGACGGGAGTTGATCTAATTGAGCAGCGAATGGGGAACGCCGCCATGGACTGTGAACGGAGCTGTCTGTGAGCACGGGCACCTCAGGGTGTTGGCGTGTGATCGGACCGAGGGTGGTTACCATTTAGCGCGGACGGCTGCTGGCCACGTCGTCAGTTACAAGGCGCGCTCAAACATGGTGCCACCGGCTGGCCCAGTGCCGGGGGTAAACACTACTACATATGTGAGAAATCTGGAGATGTTGCGGAAATGACAGGTTGCGCTTGGGCCAAACGCTGATCCCATTTATGTTCATTTCAAACACTCGGAATTTAGGAAGTAAACAGCAGGGATTGAAAGTTGCAAGAGCAGAGTTCACCGTATTTATGGGACACCGCTCTACAGAAGGTAGGGCTTTATGGCGCGTATGATACACAGACAGACATGGCTTTCAATATAAACGGCGTTGATCTTACGCTGCTGTATTGAATGATACCGATAAGTCCGACTCGGAAAGCGATTGATGACCAGATGTAGGTACTGACACCAAGTCTCGAGCGTTGCCTGTCAGATTGGAGGCCGAATGTTGAAATATTTTGACTATTCATAAGCAGCTTGTTTACGTATTGTGTCAAACATTCCGGGATATGCCCAGGAGCAGCTCCAGGGTTCAGTGTTCGGTAGGACCATATAGTACAAGGTAATGCCTCCGGATTGTCTGTAGTGATTTACGCTTACTGGAGCGAATGGAACTCATGGTGATCAGAACAGTTGCGAGAGGAGTATCGTTATTGCGATATATCAAAAGCAGCATCGAAGACACTGACAGGGTTTGAAAAGAACAGTTACCGAAGAGCGTTAAGCGATTATGGTTAACTAACGTACATGTATTAACTTGTTTTACTGAATTTGAATGCAAAGATTCGCGCATTACTCAAAATTCATACAACATAGACACCTTCGTTGACAACGGCGTTTCCAGGCATTGTAAAGGGCGGAGCAGGGAAGCAGCCTTAAAACTTCGCACTTCGGTGGTGTAAGCGGATAACGTAGAGAACATACATGTGCACATATCAAATTGTAGGGAAGGAAAGAAGCATCTGTGTGCACATGTTTCTGCGGGGATGAGAGCAAGTGAACTAAAATTATTTGGAATATTGAGGCCTAAAACGGAGCAATAAATTTTACCACTAATTTCTGCAAAGTAAGCAGCATCTAAAACTGTGTATCAGAAGCGCGTTCAGGAACGGCAAAAGACAG